AAAGGGTCGCGGCATTAGGAAGGTTGAGAACCACTGTTGTGGAGGCTGGTGGACACTGGCAGTCCCTGCCACACTCACCCTCGGCATTGAGCACAGTGTTATCTGGTTACTGCCCATCAGCCCAGCCAGACTGTGAGCTCCCTACGGACGGTTGGTAGTCATTGTTGGTAGTCATTGTCGCATCCCCAGCATCTAGCAGCCCGCCTGGCACATGGTGAGTGAGAATGAATGGCAGAGGCCAGAGTGTAAGCTGGAGAAACCGAGGCAGGCCCCCACACATTTTCTGAGTTCCTATTACACATACAATCCTGGGGTGCACAGCCTGGTCCAGGTGATGGGGGCGGTGAGGCTGGCCGGCCCCACCCAGCAGAATCCCAAGAGACACTGGGGCTGGGGCTGCAAGATCTTGCCTGGTGGGAGATCTGAGGAGTCCCAGGGCTGTCCCAGGGCATAGTGGTTCCGAAATAGGGCAGAATCCACAGCCAGAAGGAAGGCCCACTGGTGGGGCAGGTCTGGAATCCCGGGCGCACCTGGCTCTGGGCCCACCGCACTTCCTGCCCCTCCCCCCATTTTATCTGGCTTTGGGCCCAGAGCTATGCCTCCTGGGCCCTTAGCTACTCTCCTGAGGGGGGTAGGGTGAAGCTGGTCTCCCCTGTGGGCAGCCAGGAGCTCGCTGTGGGAAGGCCTGATAGGAGCACTGCAGACTTGAATCCCAGAGTCAAGGGTATCTTAAGCAGGGAGAGAAGATGCTCTTCTCACTCTCTATCCTGAGGGCTGTGACCTGGGATCCAGGAGAAGGAGGCTTAGCTGAGAGAACCCTAGGTTCAAGTCCCAGCTTCACAATTTCCAGCTCTGTGTCTTCACCTCAGCTTCCCTGTCTGTGAAATGGGTGCCCACAGCCCAGGTTGGCTTCTCAGGGTTGTTATGAGACTCAAATAGGAAAATGAATGAGGCCTTGGGTCCTATAGAGAATAGTTGGTTATTAGTGTCATTGATAAGGGACTGCCAGGCACAGGCCAGGAGAGCGGGGCAGACCACAGTCCAATGTGTCTTCTCCAGGGTTAGGTGGGGAGTGAGGCCTCAGAGCTCGGTGAATGAAGAGCTGTCTCTCTCCAGCTAAGAACTGTCCAATTGCCTGGCTGGTGTGGCTCAGTGGTTGAGCATTGACCCAATGAACCAGGAGGTCATGGTTTGATTCTGGGTCAGGGCACATGCTTGGGTTGCAGGCTTGAACTCTAGTAGGGGGCATGCTGGAGGCAGCCGACCAGTGATTCTCTTTCATCATTGATGTTTCTATCTCTCCCTCTCTCTTCCTCTCTCTGAAATCAATTAAAACATATTTAAAAAAATACATTCCTGTCCAATGGGTTCTCATTGCCTGTTAGAATAGAACTATCCTGGTGGCCAAGGCCCTGCATGGTCTGCTCCGACCTCTTTATCTTCCCTGACCTTGAGTCTCGCCTCTGCCCCCATTGCTCTGTCCCAGCCATCCGCACTTCCTGCTGTTCTGCAAAGGTGTTCGCTACCTTTGTGCTTTCTGTTCCCTCTGCCTGGATTTCCCTTCTCTGCTGCTGCACCTAGATGTCACCTCCTTAGTCTCCCCAAAGAGCCACCCCCAGGTGTCTACCACACTGCAGCCTCTGATTGACTGCTCAGCACTGATCAGCATCATTATAAGATGTTATTTTTGTTCATTCATTTGTTTACTCATTTACTCTCCGTGTCCTCCAATTGAGCACTGGGCCCTCTCTGTCTTGTTCTTCATGGTATCCAGAGCCGAATACAGGGCCTGGCACATGGTAGGTGCTCAGTAATTATTTATTGACTAAGTGAATATGTGCATATGAGGAAGGATGGGGAGCTAGCATTACTGAACACCTACTACATGCTAGCCATGTTCGCGATTGCCTTCCAGCCTCACAACCTCACTGCCTGGTCAGAATTATCCTCATGTCACAGAGTAATGAAGTGACCCTACTAAGGTCACTCCCATAGGAAGGGGCAGGTCTTGGATTTGAAGTCAAGCCTCAGACTGGGGAAGTATTTGCAACCTAAATACAAAGATCTTGAAGGTAGTAGTAGGTTTGGGTTCACACATCTCTCAAAGTTCAACAGCTGTGTACTTTAAATCAGAGGCTCAAAACTGAGGATGATTTGCCCCCAGGAGACATTCACCAATGCCCTGAGTCACTTGTGGTGGCTGTGACTGGGAGGGGAGGGGCTACAGCACCTGAGTGGGGGCCAGGATGCTGCTAAACACCCTGTGATGCACACACGGCCCCAGATGAAGAATTATCCACCCCAAATGCCAATGGTACCAAGACTGAGGAACCCTGCTGTAGGCACATGCAGTTTATTGTGCATAAATTAGACCTCAATAAAATTGATTTTTAAAAAAAAGAATTTATACCCTGAATAGAAAAGGACTCATGCCAATCAGAAAGGATAAAGCAACTCAATAGAAATTAATGGCCGGATCATTTAAAAAGGTAAATTAGCCCTAGCTCCATGGTTGGCAAACTGTGGCTCGGCAAACCGTGGCTCGCGAGCCACATGCGGCTCTTTGGCCCCTTGAGTGTGGCTCTTCCTCAAAATACCGCCTTCTGCGCATGGGCCACGAAGTTTCAATCGCACTGTACATGTGCGCCCACACGTGGTATTTTGTGGAAGAGCCACACTCAAGGGGCCAAAGAGCCACATGTGGCTCTCGAGCCGCGGTTTGCTGATCACGGCCCTAGCTGGTTTGGCTCAGTGGATAGAATGTCAGCCTGCAGACTAAAGAGTCCTAGGTTCGATTCCGGTCAAGGGCACATGCCTGGATTTCGGGCTCGATCCCCAGTGGGGGACATGCAGGAGGCAGCCAATCAATGATTCTCTCTCATCATTGATGTTTCTATCTTTCTCTCCTTTCCTCTCTGAAATCAATAAGGATATATTAAAAAATAAAATAAAAAGGTAAATTAACATCAGAAAATACCCATAGCCAATACATAAATGATAAAGGGCTTCTCCCCCATTCTAATCAGGGAAATGCAAACTATAACAAAAATAATGATTCCCCCCCCCCCCCATCACAATTCCACTCCCCCTCCCCCCATCAAAATTTAAGTGGCAATAATACCCTGGCCCGTGAGTGTGGAGGGAGCAGGTCCTCCCATACACAGAGGGAGGAAGTGTACACTGGCCAAGCCCTAGTGTTGATTTGGGAACACTTGCCAGCAATTCAAATAGACGTGTACGTCTACCCGCAGTTCCAGTTCTGTCGCAGTGCACGTGGGCTTAGCGGCTGCGTGAGACGTTCCCTGAGGCCTTGTTTGGCACAGTGGAAGCTAAATGTCCACGAGCAGGGGATTAGGTAAGTAAACTGTGGTGCAGCCGTCCCATGGAATACCATGCAGCGGGTCATAATGTCAAGGGGAATCTCTAAAATGCACATTATCAGGTGAATAACAAAAGCAAGGCCAACACCGCATTTACAGTCCGTTTCCATTCAGCTAACAAGAAACAAATCCGAGGCAGATCCATTAGTATTTGCCCATCACCTTTTTTCCTCACCAACAGGACTCTGATTTTGAATGGGATGCCAATGGGCCCAAATAAAATAGCTGCCTCCCAGCCCCACTTGCGGGCACATAGTTCCAATGGGGTGGCCACGTGACCTGATTCTGGTCAATAAGATGTAAATAGAAGAACACCCGTGGAGCTCTGGGAAAGCCACATGTCCTTGATCTCAGAGGGTCCGAGGCTGGCCTGTTCCCTGCCCTCCTGTCTGGGCTGAGCATACAATGCCAGGCAGTGAGGCCCGCTATAGCCGTGAGTTTGAACGTCACACACCAAAGGGACCGGGAAGCTGGACTCCTTTCTCTACAGGAAAAATGGAGCCTCCCGCTGGCAAAGCCACCCAAGTCAGTTACTTGTTACTTGCAGCCAAACACAACCATAGAGATGCGATAAACTAACAGTAGGCAGTGTGTTGCTTGAGCCTTCTGCAGCAGAACTCTATTTTTTAAAAAATAAAATAGAAATCAAATATAGCTCATCTGGTCAGAGTGCACGGCCCCTTGATGTTCCTTTTCCAGAAGTGTTTGCCGATGGGCGCACGTTCTCCTGACCCATGTACAAGCACGTGGGGAAGATGGAGGGCTCACTGCTCCATTCTCCCGATAACAGGACTCAGGATGCGCCTCTGGCCCCAGCAGGGAGAGGGGCCAATCTGGTCGCCCAAACTGGGTTGCCCCACTTCATGACTGGACCCTGTGGCTCTCCAGCCCAAACATGCAACCCCCCAGGCACTGGCCCGGCCACCTTTCTGCTGGTTTGTCTTCTTGTTCCCAGAAGCAGGGCCTTCCCTTTATCTCGGGCCAAAGTCCTCAGGGGAAGGGGATGGAATGTCACCTGGGTGATGAATCATCTCCTACTGGCTGGAGGCCACAGCAGGCCTGCCTTCTCCCTTTTGTCCCCCTCCCCAGCCTTCCCTTTCAGGGGGGGAAGGATGGATATGTCACCCTAAAAATCACTGACAGTGACAGCCACCATCTCTGGGGTGCTGACCTGGAACCAGGCCCTAGGAGGTTAAAGACACAACTTGGGACGCAGACCCGTGGGTTCAAATCCTGGCTCCAGCATGTCCTAACCTGGCAGCCTGGGGAAGTCAGCTAACCCCTTGCAGATCCCCACTCATGCATTCAACAGACATTTATTGAGCAAGCACTCTGAGCAGGACATGAAGATGTTGAAGATGCTGCCACGGACACCCCAGAAACAGTCCTGCCCTGTGGGCACAGAGGTGATGCTGCCATGGAGAGAAGGGGGGCAAAGAGTGCTCACGAAGCGGCTTATTCATTTAAACAGGCTGGTCACGGAAGCCCCTGGCGCATTCATATCTGAGCCAAGACCTGAAGCTGGTGAGAGAGGAGCCCCCTTGTTATCTCTGGGAAGAGAGTTCCAGGCAGAGGGAACAGCAAGTGCAAAGGCTCTGGGGCTGTTGTGTGGCTGGTGTGTTCCAGGATTGGGGAGCATGCCAGTGTGGATGGAGGGGAGAGGTCAGGGGGTGAAGATGGGGCGGCCACACGGGGCCTGTGGACCACTGCCAGGACCTTGTCTTTTACTCTGGGTGACCTGGATCCCCAGGAGGGTGTGAAGCAGAGGGGAAACACGACCTGGCTTCCTCCGGGTAGGGAGGAATGGCAGGATGGGGGACACGGTTTGAAAGACACGGCAATCATCCAAGCAAGCATTTTGGTGACTCACACCAGGGTGGGGCTTTGGAGGGGGGAGAGGGAGTGAAGTGATAGGATCCTTCTGCAGTCCATGGGTGAGAAAGAGAGGAGTCAGTGAGGACTGGAAGGCTTTTGGCCTGCGGCCCTGGGAAGACAGAGGTGGTGTGTTCCGCAATGAAGCTGCAGGAGGGGCGGGGTCACGCAGGGCGGAGAAGAAGTTCAGTGTCCTACCTGGAGCTCTTGAGTTGCCCATTAGGCATGTCGAGCCACAGCTGGATATTCAACCCTGAGTTCAGGTGAGACTCCTGGCAGGCGGTGTACCTTCGAAATTTTGAGCATGGGGATGGCATTTAAGGACTCCGTTTCTTCATCTGTAAAATGGAATTAAACAGCATCTGCTTTGCAAGGTTGTTGTGAGGCTGCGTATTCTATTGTATGTTCACTATTTCCCACTTGTTTTAAGAAGTACAATGTTTGTTGTTTTATTGACATAATGTCTGATTATTTTTCTGACTGCTCTGTGGCCACCAAAGGCCCACCGGGCTCCCTTTTCCCCATCTCTGGTCCTGCCAAAACCTCTGGCACAGGAGGGAGATGACCAGGCATTGCGGAAAGAGCCCTGGGACTCAGGTACAAACAGCTCTGCCTCTTTCTTGCTGTCTGTCTCAGGCCGGTCATTTAAACCCCAGTGTCCTTATCTGTTAAACGGGGCTAATACTGGCACCCTGCTCATGAGAGTGTTGCCAGGATTCAGAGAGGTGAGAGGTGCAGAAGTCAAGACTATCAGAGACTCACCAAAACAAGCAACAAACGAACAAACAAGCTGGAGGGGGGTGACTGAGGGTAGGGGTCTGCAGCCAGATCACCGGGTCAAATCCTGTTCCTTGAGCCGGTCCCCTAACCTTTCTGTGTGTCTTTATTTGTACACCTAGGATGGGATGGCACCCACCCGTAGAGTTGGTTTGAAGATTAAAGAATAGTCATGATGAGTTAGAGCAGTGCTTGGCACCCAGTAGGCACTCAGTAAATATTAGTCACTGTTACGGTCACTTCTGGGTATGGGAACCAGTCCACGTCACAGTGCCCCTGTGGGTTTGGGGACAGGCAGCCCAGCCCCAGTGGACCTGGGTCACAGAGCCACCGGCAAGTCCGGGGCTCCTCAGTTGGCCACGCAGCTGGGACAGCTTGCTTCCTGCCTCTGTCCTGGGTGCCAGGCAGGCCCGGAGACCGCCTGATGTCATCAGGGCTGGCCTGCCCTCTGATGGGGAGGAAGTGGGCGGGTGCCCTGGGCACTGATGAGCCAGGCAGACGTGCCCCGAGGCGGCACAGTCAGGGCTGATGTGAGCACCATGCACCCGCAGCTGACTGAGCAGGCCCTCCCCAGTTTGCCCACATCAGGCGGTTTTGAGGCTGCCCTAGGTCAGAGTCGAGATTCAGGGTGGACCGGGGTCAGGGCAAACATTCTGTCCCCACTCCTCAAAACACAGCCGAGGGCTGGCTCCCTGGGGCTCGGCTTGCAGGAAGGGCAGGTGATGTGTCCCAGGAGGTGTGGCTGGGGTGTGGGGGGGTGTCCACTGTGTCCGTGTGTATGGGGGGACTGCCTGCCTAAGGATGAGTGAGTGAAAGTAGGGCTTTCAGAAGGCAAGTGAGTGTGCGGACGTGGACATGTTTGTGTATGGGTGTGAGTAAGCAGGCATCTGTGTGTGTCCGGTGCCCGGGCAGGGGGGCAGCGTCATCACTGAGTGTATAAACCAGTTTGAGCATGTGTGTGTCTGGGTGTGTAAATGACAAAACGAGTGTGTAAGTTTAATTGCATGAGTGTGTGAGTGTGTCCCTGGGTCTGAATCTCGAGGTCAGGTCTGACTGAGTGTAAGTGTGAGCATGCGAGTGTGCGAGTGTGTGTGTGTATGCACACTACTGTGAAAGGTCCCACAAGGAACCCCTTTTGCATGCAGAGCTTTGCTCCCTTGCATGGGAATGTTCATGGGTGGGTTCAGTCAGTGCATTTAGAATCTTAACTGAGGTGTCCAGGAGCTCCCAGGGAGGAGGAGATATGCTGTCCAGACTGAGCACTGACCAATCAGGACAGGGGCCAGCTGCAATACTTGGGCCAATAAATCAGCTCTTGTTACCCCAACTCCCAATGATCCCACCAGCGTCTAAGAAGGTCTTGACCCGTGGACGTTCTGAGGCAGCCCTCAAACCAATCCAGCAAACAGCCAGCCTTTTCATCAGCTGATAGTACTAGTAAACATTTATTCATGCATCCATTCATCTATTCACCATTTTTTCCCGAGCGCCTACAATGTTCCAGGCACAGTTCCCGGCACTGGAGATGCAGCGGAGAACAAGATGGACAAAAACCCCTTTGCTGGTGGTGTTAACACGCTGGTGGGACCGAGCGGACAGTGAAATAAGTGAGCAGCAGATGGAGAGGGTCACTTGGTGTAAGGGCTGTAGATAAAAATACAGCAGGAGAGGTAGGGCGAGGGCCCCAGATGGGTCTGCCATGTTTAAAAGGTGGGTCAGCTAAGACTTCACTGGGAAGGCGACAGCTGAGTGAAGACCTGCAGAGTGAGGGGTGCACCATGTGGATATCGAGGGGAAGAGCATTCTAGGCAGAGGGCACAGCAACTGTAAAGGCCTTGGGGCCAGTGCATGCCTGGCTTGTTCAAGGAAGAGAAAAGGTGCCGATGTGGATTTAATGGTTTGTGCGTGCGTGCGTGCGTGCGTGTGTGTGTGTGTGTGTTAACTGATTATAAAGCAAAGGGTGCTGATGGAAAGATCAAATAATAGAGAATGAATAAAGGAGAAACTGAAAATCCATAGTAACTGGAAGGGGGCGGGGAGGTGGACTGAGGACCAGGCATGTCTGTTGTACAATTCACCCGGTAATCAAAGCGATTTTCCATTTTGACAAGGCAGCATCAAAATAGTGCAGCTGCGACCAAATCTCCCAACTGCAGCAAAAGCCAGCTTTACGGCTCCTAGCTCCTCCTGAGCCCAGCTGGGTACTTCGTAGGTGTTTGATGAGGGGGGTCTCTGCCTTACACATCCTCCCAGTTCCCTGAGGCCTGAGGGGGAGAGGAGAGATGGGTGCAAACCCCCTCCATGTAGAGATTTAGCCCCCAATCCTCGCAGGCTGCCTGCCTGGCCCCCAGTGGCCCCAGAATGACAGCGTCACCTCTTCCTCCTCCTGCTTTTATGAGCTGAGAAGGAGGCTTGTCCCACGTTGCACAATTGCCCCTTAATTGCTGTTTCCTCTCAGTTATGAATTGTGTCATGGATACGGCTACTCACGTTATTAAGCTTCCACAGCGGCCTTATCGTCTGGACTCCAGCCAGCAACCCAGCCTGACCTACTTTCCCACCGGATTTCAAAACCGCCTCTCTCATCCTCTTGTTGGACTTTTCCTAAGGAGAGTCCGCTGTGCCCAAAAACTCGCCGCTAAAAATAAAAACTAGAATGAGGGGGGCGGGCACAGCTGGCCCAGGAAGGCCCGAGGCTGAGAGCAGCCCCCGTGGTTGTGGCCAAGCTCCGCCCCCTCCCAGAAGTTTCCTCAGGAGTCTGTCCTTGGGACGCAGGGTTCCCATCAGGACAGGCTGTGACACAAGCCACCCTCCAGGGTTCCCCGCTGATTGAATCTAAACCTTTCAGTTCTCAGTCAGGAATAGGAGAGCTGACTTCAGAGACAGGCAGACCTGGGTTCAAATCCTGGCTTTGCCACTAACTAGCTGATTCATTCATTCATCCATCCATCCATCCATCCATCCATCCATCCATCCCAGGGATATTTACTGTCTCCTGAATGTGGCACTCTGCTGGGTGCTGGGGGAATATCTGAGAACAAGGCAGATACAGTCCCTATTCTCATAGAACTTATAACCCAGTGGGCAGAGATGGGCACAAAACAAATAATTTTTTAATAAAAATAATGAAAATAAATTAAAATGATGGGCTATATAGTGACAGAGACACCCTGAGCTAAGATGATCAGGGAGGTCTCTCTGAGGAGGGGATATATTAGGCAAGACCCAAATGATAAAATCCAATTCTGGGAAACAGAGCAGGATAAGGGCGAGGAAGTGAGTGACCCAGGTACAAAATGTGAGGGGGTTCTTGGTCTCAGCCTTGTTCCAGTGTAGACTGGCCCTTGAGAGTGCGTGTCTTCTTACAGTTTTCATCCTGGGCATCTCATTTGCCTCAGCCTGGTCCTGGACCTGCTGGGAAGGAAAAGAATCCAAGTGCAGGAGCAGGGCACGTGCAAAGGCCCTGAGGTTGGGAGTGAGCCTGGTGCGATGGGGCACAGAGCGCCAGGAGGGGTGGGGAGGGGAGATGACATGGGAGAGGTGGTGAGTGCCAATCACAGAGGGCCTTGAAGGCCAGGCCATGGCGAGAATTTGGTGAGAGACAGAGATATACAACCGACCCTTGAAGAACTTGGGTTTGAATGGAGTAGGTCCACTGATGCATGGACTTTTTCAATAAATATGTACAGTACTGTCCATGTATTTTCCTTTCCTTATGATTTCCTTAATGCCATTTCTTTTCTCTAGCTTACTTTATTGTAAGAATACAGTCTATGATACACATGACATACAAAATGTGTGTTAATCGACTTTATGTTATCAGTAGTGTTTAGTCATTACATTTTCAGGGAGTCAAAAGTTATAATTGGATTTTTTACTGCTCAGGGGGTAGGCACCCCTAACTCCTGCATTGTTCAAGGGTCAACTGTGTTTTGTTTGTTTGTTTGTTAATCCTCACCCAAGGATATTTTCCATTGATATTTTTAGAGAGAGTGGAAGGGAGGGAGGGAAGGAGGGAGAGAGAGAGAGAGACAGAAAGAGAGAGAGAGAAAGACATTGATTGGTTGCCTCTTGAATGCACCCCGACCAGGGCCAGTGATCAAACCTGCAACCCAGGTATGTGCCCTTGACCAGTAATCGAACCCCTGACCCTTTGGTGTGCAGGCTGATGCTCAAACCACCGAGCCACATCAGCCAGGGCAAGGATCAACTGTGCTTTGAAGGTTGAGTCCATGGTACTTGTGGGTGAACTGATATTTGCAGGGGAGGTGGGAGGAACCAGGACTGACTCCTGGGCTGGATGGACGTGAGGAGGCTGGCAAGTGCTTCATCACCCCGGGTCATTGTCCCCTCCTCTAACACGGCCCCCCCAGTCACCCTATCCTACTTCATTCAGAGCCTGGCCCCTAGGAAATGCTCTCCTGACAGTCCAGCCAGGCTCTGTGATTTACCTGGAGTCATCTGGCAAGTTGATGCACCGCCTGGACTGGAACCCAGACCCTGCTCTCCAGGACGTGTCCCAGCAGGCTGGCCTGGGCCTTGGCACATGACTCTGCAGAAATGCAGCCTCCCAGCCAGACAGGCCTCGGCAACAGAGGCCGGTTTTTTTCTTTCTGAATTGTGCTTATGCGTGGGGCTGTTTATCTAACTTGGCTGAAGTTGGAGGCCTGGGCCTGTAAACATATCCTTTTAATTATTACACAAGTGGGACATGCTCATGGAATAAAAATTTGAAAATGCAAATAGGCAAAAAAAAAAATAGGCCAAAAAGCAGAGAGAGAAGGGGTAGGGGGTGGGGGAAAAAAAACCAACCATCTGAAAGAACACATGTGCACCAAGATACATACATAAGGACCTTCATTGCAGGTTTTTTTTTTAGCAAAAGACGGGAAGCAACTTGAGTATCCAAGAATAGGGACCTTTTTCACCAAATAAATCAAGTAGTATTCCAATGTCACACAGCCCCAGAAGCGAACGAAGCAGATTTCTGAGTACTGGACATGGAAAAACCTCTAGATATAATGTACCGAGAAAAACAAGGATGCGAAACAGTGATTATGGAATGCTACAGTG